GGCGGGGCCCGGATGGAGCCGGGACAAAGGGGCCGCCGCCCCCCGGCCCGGCCCGGCCCGGCCCAACCTCGCTCTCCCCGAAGCGCCGTTTCTCGGCCCAGCAGGAGCGTGGGGGGCGCTGCTCGGCCTCACCCGCTCCCCCGGGCAGCGCGAGGGAAGGAAGGGCGGTGCAATGCGAGTGAATACAAAATCGGGTTTTTATTATTACAAAAAATACCTTTTTTTTTTTTTTAAGGAAAAAAAATCATCTTAATACGCTGTCCTGCCCATAACGAGGCAGCCCTGAGGGCATGAGCCAGGATCCCTAAGCTGGGCAAAGCGCGGGCAGGCGCCCAGAAACCACCAACTCCCCTAATCTCTGGAAGCCAGCACCGAGGAAACGAGAGAGGAGCCTTTGCCGCCCTGACACTTGCGGTACCTTCTGATTTTAGCCCTCTCTGGCTCACTCCCTTGAGCCTTCAAACTCCTTGAAAGCTCAGGAACATCTCCAAGGAGAAAACCCACCACCAAAAATCAAGACATTTAGAGTCGAACCCCTGTAAACGCTCCGAGAGTGTGCCACAGGCAGCCAGCCCTAGTCCCACAGACCCACCTCAGCCTCATTTTTAAAAAACAGTAAATTCTGTACCTGATCTTTGGACAAATCAGTCACAGGAGCACCAAAAGGCATTGGTCAAGCTGAGTCTCACCCCATCGGGATTATCAGTGTTCCCAGCACTAAACGGCACTGGGTCAAACAAAGGGTTTGGGGGCTGTTTCACCATCAGCAAGCACTTCCCAGAATTATCTTCCCCTGGGAACTGCCGCCCCCTGACAAGGGTTCTGCTGTCAGAGGGATCATTTTGCAACGTGCAAAACAAGACAGAAACCATTACCACAGAGCTAGGTGAGACGTACACCAACCCCACTACGGCTACTTTAAAAGTCTTAGCTCAAAACCAGTTTCATTTCTACCACAGACCTTCACCTGACAGCAACAGCTACAAAGCTACAAGCCCTACATCTCCAACTCTCGACTGGCTACAGACGATCTCCTGCCTGTGTCCCTGCAAACACCTTCTCCCCAGTTCGAAGAGGCTGAAGAAGCAGCTGCTGCACTAAAACATGCCCCTGCTGCGCTTCTTGAGCGCCGCTGAAGAGACCCAGATGCTGCAGGACACCAAAGCAGGTATGAAAACTCTTTTGGGGGGGAATGGAAACCGAGGCACTGAGGTGATGTGGCTCTAGTAAGGCAGCAGCGGTTCTCGATAAAACCCAGAGCTGAGTTTTACCTTGCACTCCCTTTCCAGGGACTGTGACACTCCTGACAATACTCTGCACTGAAAAAGAACTTATGGTCAATTTTGGGCAAGAAGCTTCACCACATCTCCATGTAAAATTTAAATTTAACGGAAAAAAAAAAAGAAATTTGAGCAGCTGCTTCATCATGATTGCTAGTGAACCCCAAACAGTGAGAATGGAGAACTATATCAACTACATCTTAAAAACTATACATAGTTTATAGTTTCCTATAAACTACATGATTTAGAGTTTCTTTTCTGTCTGACCTCACGCTGGAAATACAGGAGAAGTCAGACAGAACAGTCTAGAAATGACTGTGAGGAGTGAGAGGGCTGCGACAGCCCAGCAGCGCGCTCTGCACGCAGGGGAACGCCGTCAGCCCCGAGCCGTGCCCTGGCAGGTACCGAGCTCGGAGCCCTGAGAACTTTGGTCAGAATTCATCCCGCAATCTCGGTGGGTGGTCCATGCCAAAAAACGAAGAGGGTTTTCCATGCACGTCCCGCTCTCTTTTCACAAAGGCAGTAAACGAGGAGACACAGTTCCCGATAAAGTGATCGGACTGGCCGAGAACATAGAGATCGATCTGAGGCACTTCTGGCTGCAAGCTGACAACCTTGATCTGCAGGAAAGGAGGGAAGCAAATGAATCTTATTACAATCCAAATGCCTTGGCTTAATATTAGAAATGGGAATATACAACAAACAGAGCAGATTATGTCTTAAGTCACCCTAGAACTCATTAATAGATAAATGTCAAAACAGTTTTGAAAATCCCTCAGGTTTATTTCACTGAGGTCTTCTTCAAGGAGAAATTTACTACCATGAAGGATAACGCTCTTCAACTTCTAGGAAAGGAAGAGTTTTACAGTATCATAAATTTTGCTCCGAGCAATAATAACTTTGAGATGCCAATATGCGTCTGTGAAGAAGGTATTACACAAGTGCCTGGCTGCTGTCCGTGGCAGCAAGGGGCCAGAATCCGAGGAAGGTTTTTATTAAAGCACTCCTGACAGCACGGGTTTCTGAAAGCCTTACCTTTCCTTGGAAGAACTGCTGTATTTCCGTCGTGTAGGGCTCAGAATCAGTAGCGATATAAACAGATTTAGCTTCTGTCTTTTTCACCCAGAGCTTGAGAGCGCGTTTGATCTCTCTGAGGTCTGGCAGGCACATCTCCATGGTGAGAGGGACCGCAGCGCTTCGGTCGTAGCCCACGCACTGAGGGGAAGCCATGAAGTGTGGCCCGGCCGTCCCATCCTTCAACATATTGCAGGCGTTTTTCTGTTGGAAGAAAAACAAGAGGAAATATCACATTTGAATGGCAACACTGGAAGAAAACACCACCACATCCCCCCGTCGCACCCTGTTTGAAAGGGGAATCCCAGTGGCAGTGCTAACCCAGCGAGGTACCGAGCGCCGCCGGGGTCGGGCTCTCGCCCCAGCACGGCTCCTCTCGGGCAGCTCCTTGCACGGGGCATCAGCCACCAGCCAACGGCCACCACAGGGGCTACAGCAGCCAGCCCCACACAGCCATACCCAGTCTGAGCCGATCCTCAGATGAATTCCTACGTAGGGCCTGACCAGCAGAGAATGAATGTAGGCTTCTCCTTTCTTCACCATCTCATCAGACCACACGATGTACTTATGGAGGGGTCGGTGCTCCTCTAAGACTGGGAACTGGGCTGGAGCTCCAGGTAAGGCGAGCACAGGGTGCTCAGAGGGTGGAAATCTATGGGGAAAAAACCAGCAGAGCAAAACATGACATAACCTGGCAGGCATCATCTTGCAAGGACTACTGAGCATGAATTTTGTGAAGCTTAAAATGGAAACTATGAACACCCAGAAATACACAGTATCTATTGCTCCAAATTTGCCCAACACGAATCCTAAACCTTTTGCCGTGTGAACAGAACATTGAAGTAAAACTCAGGTATTGCATTTCACCCCAGCTCTGGGAACAAACGAATCAGACAAAAGGTAAGAATCTCATACACATAACGATGAGCTACCAAGCAACGATAACTTACATTCTCACCCCAGACTAGAGCAATTCTGTCAAACTTACTGATACAACCAAAGGGGCTCTGAAAGCACGAGGTAACCAGCAAAATACAGTTCATGATCAGCAACTGAGCACCAAGGTTTTTTTGAAGAATAATTACACATGTAATCAATAAATACTGTAATTAAATGTTATTGGCTCAGAAATCAATCAGCCTAAGGGAGCTCACACCTAATACTGCCCACAGAAGAGCATGCTCAGTGAATATTTAATGGAAAAAACATTAAGATTTTTAATTATATGGTTAACTAGTCACTTCAGTCTCTCCCCCCTCAAAAGCAAAAGCTTTAGACAGTGACCAGTACAACTGGTTTTGTGAGTTATTCCATAGTGGTGTGCCAGCACTTTTCCATCTTCTTGCTACCTTTGGATCCAATGGTCCTTGTAGGCAGAACTGAAGGAGATTCCCTTGAAGAGCTCAGACTTATCAAAATTCACTTGGAACTGATCCCAGAAGGGACCAAATGGATTTCCATCCTGCAAAGGAAAGAGGAACATCCGTTCAGTGACGGACTGACAGACACTGAAAGACAGACCTAGCAAGATCCTGGGGTGCAAAGCCGAAGAGCTTTTGTTACAGGAGGAAAGCAGACTGAACACAACAGCCTGTCTGTCACATTCAGCTCCACATTAAAGAAAGCAAAGCACATTAAAGAAAGAGTGAAACACATCAAAGTTAACTGAGAGCTAATGCAAAGGCTGTGTTAAAAGAACAAGAACACCACAGGTCTCAAACTTGTATTTAAGAGGTTGCTTTGAAACCAGGCAGACAACTGCACCACAGGTGTGAAACGGGCTGAGCCCTGTAAGCCTGGTTGTTACAAATCTGCTCTCCTTACAGCCACAGCCGAGTCTGGAGTGGCAAAACCTACTTACACAGAAAATCCTCCTGAACCCCAAGCGTTTGCTGACAAAGAAAAACATGAAGGCACAGCCAGCCACACCAGTAAGGCAAAAAGAAAGGCCCCACAGGCTGACTTGGGGCGGTAACTCCTAAATTTGCCAATCAGTGTCGGCCTGAATGAGCCGGGCATTCCCTCTGGAACAGCAGCACAACTAAACCGCGCCCCCGGGGATGCGGCAGGAACTCACCTTCATGGGACAAGTGCTTTTGTCAGCGCTTCTCTGAGCCGCCGCTTCGAAGCAGTAAGCCACTCGCTTGCCAGGAGGCCAGTGGACGGGCGCCAGCTCCTCCATGAAGTCCTCCAAGGCGATCACGCGGTGGTACCGCAGGAGCGGCTCCAGCCTGAAGTGCTCCGTGTAGGGAACGTGCAGCTGGGGACGACAGGAACCGCCTCACTCGCGGCCCCGGGGCCCGCACCTCACCCCTCCGCCTCCCCCGGGGAGAGGCCCCAGCCGCG